TTCCCTGGTCATACGCATCCCCTTCTAAACTTCCCACTCACTTAGAAACTTCTCTCCTGTCTTTTCAATCTTTTGTTCAGTTACAGCATGCATAAGGTATTCAGTATGCTGGTACGGTCCAGTGAACCAGAGCCCCGAAGGACTGCTTATTACTACCCCCACAGGAACACTGGCCAGGAGATCAAAGATTGTTTCTGTTCTACAGCCAAAGACAGAAACTGCTTTTCTAAGAACTGACACACACCCCATTTCACTCTCTTCCTCCATCAAAAAACCTTGCTCTTGTATTACTATTTCTAGCACTACGGTCTACACCTCTATGATTTAATACCAACAGTACAGTACCTTAGCTTTCTAAGTAATTCAAACACAGATGCACATCACAGGCTAGAAATGTTTCAACAAGTACTAATATGCAAGATGCACACAGACAGAAATTAGTACATACTGGCTGATTTTGTGTCAGCTGAGTATCAGATTTCTTTTGACTTAAATGTTGTTTTCCTATTATAAAGATTAACAATATATATTGTTGAAAGACAAAAATTAGTACCTAATTAGGGTAGATAAAACAGAGGACAGTTAAAATACATGCAGATTACATAATGCTAATCAAACCCCTCTTCCTAACTGATACTGAAGATATTAAGTATAGGTACAGAAGGTAAATGAATGATGATGCATCTAGTGCTAGACTTTAGTATTTAAAAACAGACCTTGCCCTCAGACATATGTCAGTTCCAACATCCTTGGGGAATCCCATCAGTCTGGATTTAAGGTTTTGTGTAAATTCAGCTCTTTAAAGAGCAGCAACCGTAAGGGCAATGCATAATGCACAGATTCATCTGAAACCCAGGAACACCTAAAGATCTCTAAAAAGCCCTACAGAGACAGACTCTTACCAGTTTTCTCACAAAGGTCTGCAGCTTGAGGATTTTTGCAAATAATAGATTCACTGTCCTTTTAGCATGTCTGGCAGCTAGTGTGCTAATTATGCAGTCAAATTTAATTAAGTGTTTGCAAGTAATAAATAATCAATATCTGTCATTACACCAAATGACTACTGCTGACAGACCACTACAGCCCTGTTGAGTGTGCACATAGCTGGTGCGCTGGCACTACTTGGTGCTGGGAAAGCGAATAGCTTTGGAAGGCAGGTGTTAGGCAATTAAGAAAAAAAGAAACAAATGTGGAGGAGGGGGAAGATCAGAGCTCTCCAAGGACGGCAGCCATAAATTTGAAATAAGGAATTAATATGTGTTCACTCATGTTTAATTCATGCACCACCACTTGTGGGTAGAATTCATTCTCATAAATGAGCAAACTGCTATGACTGGACAAAAATAAAAAAATTAGAAGGCAAAAAGAAAAAGGTAAGAGGCCCATCAAAACACCAGAATGTAGGGAATGCCCAGCACAACACTCTCTGTCAAGTAGATTCACATTTAAAATAGAACATCAGTTTAGCACACTGTTACAATCCTGTAAGTCTCCAATCCTTGGCATACTTTTTAATTCTGCTGGGAAGGAATCTACAAATGCCACCTCCTGAGCTGGCTGATTTCCCCCTAGCTGAATCAAAGTATTAGTCTGTTAGGGTTACATCCCAAAGTGCCGTAACACTGAAAAAAGGAATGCAAAGATGATCCACTTTGGACCATGGACCTTTCAAGAAGAGAGCAAAGCCTATATATTTCTTCAGGTCCAGGAGCAGAACACGAACTTGGTTTCTTGAAAGAGTAGCAGTTTGGTCTCTCCTCTCTAAATCCCTTCACCTGCCCTGGATGAGCCTGCTGAGATTTGGTCAGCTTCCCGAAGCCTTTTCCAAAGAGCAAGCATCGACATTTACATGACAGATACCACCATTCTTTTAAGAGCACCTGGTTTGCTACCCAAGAAGTCAGCCTCTTACTGGTCACTTTGGCTACTGAATTTGACTTGCAAGTTATCAGAATTTCTTTATTAGGTGTCCTCTTGTCTCAGTCCAAGAGCCTTGTAACATTAGAGGGCAGCGAGCTCTAGTTAAAGAAAGCACATAAGCACCTCCTTGAATGTAAGCATGAATTGACCTAAGCACACAGGTACATTTCACTGAAGTGTTTCCATGACTAGAGATACTCCAGATTTGGCACCATTGCTACTGAGGGAATCCCTTTGGTTTCAACAGATTGGCAAAAACCAGAAATAAACTCAGCAGGCTGCAGAGACAAGTGAACTCCTCTGATTTCAAAAGGCTCTTGGTCAGGATCTGTGCTTGAAACTTAACAGCTGTTTTTCTGCAATTCCCAGGACTTCTGCTGTAGCACATTATCCTCAGGCAGACAGCGGTGTCAGTTTTGCAGGCACTCCATTTATCCCAGATCAATCACATAGATGAAGTATGTAGGACATGTCCCAATATTAAGAAAAACAGCTTTGCAACTTCTGCTTTAATAAGCTGAAGGCAAACAGCAAAACCTATGTGGGGCAGACTGACAGCAAAAAGAAGAAAAAGCTTTGCTTTTTTATTGCAGTCTAAAGATTTCCACCCACTTTCACACTGTACACAATGGAGTGCCATATTTCTATAGTCATGTCTGTACTTTAGACAATTTATTTAAGCACTTCAAGCCTTTTACTGATAAAACTGGTAGTTAAAATTGCCCATTTCATTTTAGAATCCCAACCATGTGCATCAGCAACTACAGGCCATAATTTAAGGAGTTTGTTCTATACTTTTCATCTCTACCCAATAACCTTCATGTCCTGATATAATTAATTACCAATGTTTCCAGAAAACATATTTGTATGCTTGATCAGCTCAACTACAAAGCTCTTTAATTTATCAGAGAATCTATTTAAAGAAGATGCCCAGGTTTTTTTCTGTGTTTCATATCACAAGTTATTATTTGAATTAGTCATTAAGCATACAATTACTTTGCCTGAAAAATAAACAGACTGCCTGTTGGGGGGGAAAAAAAAAAAGCAGCCATGCCTACCAGTGCTTTCAGGTGCTCTGGAACAGATTTTTCCATTTTACATTTTTTTCTGCTCTCCACTTAAACACATTTCCAGAGGTTCATGTTAAAGCAAGGTGTAAGTTTAAGCATTTTATCCCTATGACAGTACCAGTTGTGGGAGCAATATTTCACCGCCAGTTCAGCTTCTTATGTGGGCACAATTGTATCAGTAAAACAGAACTGGGTCTGTGACGGGAATGCTATAAGCACTCTTATACAAATAACTTACATCATGGAAGTTGAACTTCCTCAAGCAGTTTAGCTAAAGATCATTAATACCCTGAGAAAACCCTGGATGCTTCGTCTAAGAGTCCTGATCCTTAAAGAAAGATGCCTGTTGAACTTCCAATTGGGTTCAAATTAAGTGAAACTCCCGTTTCATGAGGGCTTTTACAAACTGAAATAGAAATCAAGAATACAGGCAAGGGTGGGTAAGGGAATGCAGAAACACCATTTCGGTACTGGAGACTAACTCTGATTACAGCAGACCTGCCTTAGAAGTAGGCAGTATGTGCTTTACCCTTCTCATTATCAAACAAGAGTTACAACTTGTCCAGAGATGAAGTCCAGCATGGAAAAGATTAAGAACCATCAAACAAAGCTAGTATTAGCCAAGAACAAAAGTTAAGGCTTACAACTAATTATTCCTCCTTTGTAACAGCCTGGTGACTTTTTAATCCTCTTCTGGCATCATATGCTTCTGCAGCACTTCATCTGGACCCAAACAGGCATCTGTTAAGCACATCACTGGCTCCAGTGTGACAGTCCAGCTCAAATTCCTATAACCTAGCAAGTTCATTTTTGGAGCTGGATATGAAACAGTGAATTCTGATCTGTATTATTATTTCTTGGATACCAGTGTAAGAAAAACTTTCTTTGGGGGGATTTCATATGGAGCTAGAGCCCTGGGTGCTGGATTCACTAGAACAGTCATAAAAGCTTAATATTTTTAAGCCATTCTTTTACCAGGTTGGTTTGAAACAACTTTCTCTTTGGACCGGGAATTAAGGGTTCAAATTGTGGGTGGGAGATTACTGGCCAATGGCCATGTATCTTTACTAACTGATGCCTGAGGAGCCACTGAGCCTTCAAGGAAACCATCTGCCTGTCCCCTCAGCCAGAAGGCTGCCAGCCAGAGAAAGCCAGTGAGAAGCAGAAGACATCTGCCTATGCAAAGGAAGAGTAATGAGAAGCTTTCTCTGCACCTTGTATGGCCCTTACAAAGGCACATTTATAATTACTCCTTCCAGGAAACAAACCATATGAAAAGCAGTAGGCAAACTTCTATCCCTCTGTGTTCTACTATTACCTTAGCACATCAGTACAGCCGAGGCTTCCTCCAAGAATTGCATCATTTTTGAGGCAGGATCTTCTCCTTCCTTTTTACAACAGCTTTACCCAATGCCTTCTTTCTCCATTCCTACATGTAGCTATAATTCAATGCTGTACCATATTGATTTTTTTTTTTGGCCGAAATTCCATGCCACTAGCATTCAAAAAACCCAAAAAGAACAAAACATGAGTTTACCATACCACCACCACCTAAAATTCTGAAAGTCCTGTAAACATTATCTCCCCTCCTTCCGTGGACTCCTATTCCCACGCTGCCACTACACCCAGAGAGCCTAACTGTACTATAACCATGTTACACAAACCATCCACTCACAAAAGTCCCTGCCCTGGAATTCTCCTCTGTGACTCCGCCTTCCACTACAGACCCGTCCTGCTCTTGCACAGCAAACCACATATTCCAGCTGAAGAAATACAGAGTATGGAAAGAATAAAAGTAGAAAAGATGCACTTAAATCAGCACAGATATTTCCTTTACCACAAACCATCAACAACTACGTTTTCTGATTCATTTTCCCTTAATTATTTTATACTGGCACCATATTTAATGACTTTAGAGTGTACAAAATCTTTGCAGCAAGTATTTTGCTCAGAACTAGAGCTCAGCAAACACTGCAAGACATAAGAGTCTGAATATTCATTTAGACTTCAGAATGACCTTAGTTGTACTCTCATCCCCTCCAAGTTCCCTTTCTTAATATCTAGAAAAGGGAATTTTGCTGTTAGAAAGGCTGGGTGGAATTTTAAACCAAAACAAGCTCAAATTCAGAATACAGAGCATTTTTAACCATGAGGTTGATTAACCATTGCAACAAGCTATGGAAGGGAGCAATGGCTTGTCCATGTCTTCACATCAAGACTGGATTCCTTTCTGAAAGGTACTTTTTTCTCAGTACAAGTTACTGTTTAAGTACAGGGGTAACTGGAGCCTCATACTCCCTTCTGGCTTAAAAATCTATAGTTCTATGACTATTCAAAACATCAGCTGTAAAACCTACATGACAGGGTAATTGCAGAAGCCACGTTTTCTATTTCTCATGCTTGCCCATCAGATATGCTTTCTCATCCAGTGAAAGAACAGAGACTCTTTGACTAATCGCACATAGGCAATGTCAAGTGTCAAATGCTTATTGTGAATGCTTAAGACCAATTCATGAAGTTAAAAATAAACTGTGGAAACAAATCTGCCAAAGAAATCCATATAGCAAACACTTGAGGGAAATTGCAGCCTATTCTCAAATATTCTGTGAGCACCCAATGAGGGCAATTTCATCAAATCAATGATTGCTAATAAAATTATTTTCCCAGTTCTTTTTAGAATCCAGGTTTCATTAAACTGAGACCTGAAGTCCAAGGATAAGTTTGTAATTGCAGTATTTTGTGGATTGATCTGGGATGGTGTATTTCTTCCTATTCACATATATAGGAGTACACACTCTTTGTAGCCAGACATATTTTAAGCCCAGATGTAGACGGAACCTTATTTAGCCTAGATCAGAGTTCAATTAAACCACATTACAAAGACTGTCAGGAGACACTATAAGTAGTTATTTTGAAAAAGATGTCCTATTTTCAGTGAGACAGATTAACTTACTTCATTCAATATACTGTTAAATGAAAAACTGCAATAATATTCTATTAAATAGCCTTCTTTCACATACTGAGTATATATCCTTAGTGAAATTATCCTTTGTATCTTAGTGCAGCCAAAATCTTCACTAAATCTCAACAGACATGTGTGGATTTAGTACAGAAGTGAACGCTTCCCCTTTCTTCTCCAGCAGAGGCAGAACAGTCATTTCAGAACTCTCAGGAAAATGACAAAAGTACCTAAAACACTGAATGAACAAAGGTACACCAGGAACTTCTGCACTTTAAAATACAAGAACAAGGGGACAGTCACGGAAAGTAAATGATGGGAGTTAGAAGTGGCTAGAAAGGAAAAATATTTCATACAGTGTGCAATTAGATGATAGAGATCATTGCCAGGGAGGAAGGCACAAAGGCCAAGAACTTATCCAGACTTAAATTGACAATTTGGATGTTTGGAAAGATATGCAGACCATCTAGAGTAATGTCATTAACTACACGTAAAACTCCTTGTTTTACTATTTATCATTTATAAACCAGGATTAGACTTCCACTTTAAAAAGTATTATCCAACATCTGTCAGGTTTTTCCATGCTCCTCGTGATTACTGACACAACAGGTGTATACGTATCAACCACAAATAGCTGTTTTGTGATGCACAACATTTTCACAAACAGAAAATAAAATCTTTTAAGTCTAATTTGGAAACACAATGAAAACTTTCAGAAAACTGCATGTTTGAAATTAACTTCCAATCTTTTAACAGCCTACAAGCTCCAGTTTTTGATGGTCACAGTTCCATATCTCTCACCCTTTGACTGCAGAAATCCTGAAATATCTTTTTATTGCAAACTTATCTTCTCTATCACCCTCAATTCATATAACTTCGACATGTTAGTCAAAGACTGTCTGACATTCAGGACTGAAATCTATAAACTTTTCTCAGACTGGTTGATGACCTTAAAACTCTGTAAAACAACAGTGCATATGCAAAGGTCAGCGAAGGTTTCCGAAATCACTCCCACTCCCCGCGCTGACATTACCAAATGTCTGCACTGCTGAGGCCATCTGACATATTTAAGCTAGTTTACTGCTTAGGATCAAAGATAAATATCTGGAACTCAAAATTCTGCTAATGAAAGCTTTTGTTAAGAGATAAGGTTTGGAAAACTTCTATACAGACATCATTCAGGTACTGAGGCTTTCTTCCCCTTGCCTGAAGCTGCAAATGTCAGTGTCCTGTGAGCAACAT